AACATGAAAAGGAATGCATGTATATAACTGAAGCATTACGCTGTACACCAGAAATTGATAGAACATTGTAAACTGACTATACTTCAATTAAAAAAAAAGACTTAGAATATCACCATTTTGCATCTCCTAATGAATAAAGTCTAGGCAAAGATCACCAATGGTTGCTAATACCACAAAGAGACATCCGGACGTTAGGTACATCCTTTTGGAAGTATGCCATGCTGTCTGTGTCTTAGTCTTGCACTCAAGTCATAATCCTGAATCTGATCTGACTTAATAGAATGGTTTCTAGTTGGAATATATCATATGTATTGATGTACTGCACACATCTGGATGAACTAAAAACATTTGTTTTGTGTACATATGCCAAGGAAGAAAGATGCAAAGCTATCATCCTCTACAACTCTTCAGTACTTTTGGCCTGTGTTCTATTTCCACATTGCTTAAAGGACTTGTGTTTGGCCTTTATTCTGTAAAGGTACTTATCTGTACCACAGTTTGACTTTTTAAGTGCAGACTGAATGCAAGATAACCCTTAGCTCCAAAAAGGTTGAAATTAAAGAAAATGGTGTAAAAAGAACAGACTTTCCAAAGAATTACACCCCACCAACCACCACCACCACCAAGTTTTCTCTTCCTCCTTTGGCAAGTACAATAAACCTTCATTTTATCACATTAAATTTTAGGTTCAAAGTGTATTTATTCACTGTCAAAGTGTTGCTTACACTTATATAAACTCATCTTCTTTACTACATTAATGTTTTCCTATGTGAAAACTGATTGGTTGAAATGCAGCAGCATATTTTCCCATTAAAAATTCATGAAAATGTTTTCTTAGGACGGCTTTTCATTTAGCAGTAGAGTTTTCAAGAATGAAGTCATTAAACAAAGGATACATATATTTGATTCCCAGTTTGAGACAATAAGCAACAAAAGTTGAGATAGCAAGATAACCAGTGCTACCTCAAAAAAGAAAAAAAAATGATTCAGCCTGAGTTGAACTAGCAAGGGATACCTATACTTCAAAACAGACTAGAGAAATATAGGATGAGTGAGATGAACTAGCAGAAACAAGAATCATATTTCAAGAGTTATGAATTTTGATTGATTACAGTCAGAAGAAATTAGTGTGGTACTAAAATCAGATCTGAATAACATCCAATAAGATTAAAAGAGGGCAGATTTGAGCAAAGTGATGGAATAGATCACTGAGCAAGACCACTGAGGATACACTAATTTGAGCTTCAAAAAAACAAGGGAATAGGTAGAAATAATAATGAAGATGCCCAATAAGGATGCTTCTATTCAAAACACTTAAAATAATGGATGAAAAACAAAAGATTATCAGAAAGATATGGCTGAACCCAGAACTAACATACACATGTCCCTGAGTCAGAAACTGAAAATTCAAAAGAATAAACCATACCTAAGATGCAGGTAGGGAATAAAGAATGGGGAAGATGGCTGTACACTGGCTCTATAGTAGGCAAAAGTTCAGAGGTATGGTTTCATCTGTGCATTGAAATAACATGGTATCCATCCTTATCTGAGCTAGTTATGGAAATTCCTGCTGTCTAGCCAGGAAACACGGAAAGAGTTTGGTAGCAAAGGATAAATAAAAATCTTATTTTGTGAATAATTTTTGGTTGTTTTGTCCTTTGTTCTCTTTTGAGATACTCTTGTGTTCAACACATTGAGGAACAGAGCCTTTTGATACATGATTAAGACTCTTTCTAAATTAATTGGCAACTTTGGGGTATGATCATTTAACTTTTTAAGTATTCCTGGATTTCTTCTACTAATCGGCCACCTTTTAGTACTTTTCTGTCTTGTCTCCAAGGATAGCATGTCTACCTTATCAAGTATTTTGCCAAAACCATACATTCTATGATGTGTATTGGGTTCTCCTGATTTAGTAAGTTTTTTGTAGAGGAAAAAAAGAGAGGCATTGAGATGACTTGTTTATAGTGAATGACTTTTAATGCTCCTAAGTTTTTTAGTTAGTAACATGGAATTTACCCATAATGAATTCACCAATTTAAATTAGACTGCTTTCTGCTACTGTTAGTAGATGATCACTTAATTTTTTTTAATATTTTCAGACATATTTTTTCAAATGTTTCTTTTTAATTTTTTTTAAACTTTTTAATTGAAGTATAGTTGATTTATGTTGTGTTCTTTTCTTAATTACTAAAAAAGAAGACTGATTAGTCCTATAGTTAAAACAATTGGGCAGCTAAGCCTAGTGACTTATTTTTTACTGATTGCTAGTTTTCTTGCAAGCATCAAAGAAAATGGGGAGGCTAGGGGTTTAGGGAAAAAAAATACTGTTATTTATGCCCCATGATACAGTTGGAGCTCACCATGGGATACTTTTTGCTATGCTTTGAATGTCCATTGGCACCAAAGTACTTTTCATTTTTAAGGAGCCTTTCCTAAGGGAAGATATTTTAAGAGGAGACTCAGAAAGAATGAAAACTGTTGAGTATGGGAGGAGGTGGGTTACGACCACTGAGCCTTCCTTTACTTTGATTGCTCTGCTCTGTGCTGCCTCTATCAAGCAGTATGTCAGACATCTTCTGTTAGTGGGGAAAGTAGAAGTCTTTTGTGGATCTTGAAATGTGGGATTGTGGCACCAGTGTACTGTTGAAGGCAGCACTTTGTCTTTTCACTGCTCTTAAGATTGCTGTGTAAATGTGGTTTTTAAGCACAGTGTTCAGAGCAGAATGGCCGTAGGAATAGGGCCTAAATCTGTGCCTACATTTTCATTTTTTTCTGGCTTGAGATATAATTGACATATAACATTGTGTGAGTTTACTCTGTTATCATCTTTAAAGTTTATAGTATATTATTGTTGACCATAATCACTATGCTGTGCATTAGATCTCCTGGAGTATTTAATGTACTAGTTGCAAGTTTATGCCCATAAGAAAGATCTCCCTAAAGCCCCTGATAACCACCATTCTACTGTGTTTCTATGAGTTCAGTTTTATTTTAAATTTCACATGTGATATCATACAGTATTTGTCTTTGTCTTATTCCAGTTAGCATAATGCCCTCAAGGTCCATCCATGATGTTGCAAATAGCAGGTCTTCATTCTCATGGCCAAATAATATTCCATTGTATATATGTACCACATTTTCTTTATCCATTCATCTTTTGATGGACACTTAGGCTGTTGCCATGTCTTGGCTATTGTAATGCTGCAGTGAACTTGGGGGTGTAGATATCTTTTTAAGATAGTGATTTCATTTCCATTGGGTATTTTACCTGAGGGAATTGGGTTTGCTGGATTATATGGTACTTTTATTTTTAATTTCTTGAGGAACCTTCATATAGTTTTCCACAGTAGCTGTACCAGTTTACATTTCTACCAGCAGTGCACAAAGGTTCTCTTTTCTTCATATCCTTGCCAGCACTTGTTGTCTCTTGTCTTTTTATGATAGTCATTCTAACAGGTTTAAGGTGATAACCTAATTGTAGTTTTGAATTGCATTTTCCCTGTAATCAGTGATATTGAGCACCTTTTCATGTACCTGTTGGCCATTTGTGTATCTTTGAAAAAATGTCCATTCAGGTCCTTTGCCCATTTAAAACAATTTTTTTTGACTATTGAGTTGTATGAATTCCTTATATATTTTAGCTGTTAATTCTTTATCTGGCATATGGTTTGCAAATATTTTTCTCCCATTCTTTGAGCTTGCCTTTTCTTTTTGTTGATCTTTTCTTTGCTGTGCAGAAGCTTTTTAGTTTGGTGTAGTCTCACTTGTCTATTTTTCCTTTTGTTGTGTGTGCTTTTGGTATCATACCCAAAAAAAGCACTGCCAAGACCAATGTCAGGGAGCTTTTCCCCACTGTTTTCTTCTGGGAAGTTTATGTTTTCAGATCTTACATTTAAGTTTTTAATCCGTTTTGAGTTAATTTTTGTGAGTGTTGTACGATAGGGGTCCAGTTTCATTCTTTTGTGTGTGAATATCCCATTTTCCCAACAACATTTATTGAAGAGACCATCTTACCCCATTGAGTATTCTTGGCTCCTTTGTCAAATATTATGTGCATATATGTGGGTTTATTTCTGGGTTCTTTTAAAATTTTATTTATTGTTGTATTTATTATTTTTTGGTGGGGTGGAGGAGGTAATTAGATTTATTTATTTTTAACAGAGGTACTAGGGATTGAACCCAGGACCTCATGCATGCTAAGCATGTGCTCTACCACTTGAGCTATACCCTCCCCCCTATTTCCGGGTTCTTGATTCTGTTCTGTTGGTATGTATCTTGGTCTTTATGCCACTACCATACTGTTTTTTGATTACTACAGCATTGGAGTATAGTTTGAAATCAGAAAGCCATATTCTTTTTCAAAATTGCTTTTTCTGTTGGTGGTCTTTTGTGGTTCCACATGAATTTTAGGAATTTTTTTTCTGTTTCTGTAAAAAATGTCATTTGCATTTTGATAGGTATTGCATTGAATCTGTATCTTTTCCATGTGCTTGTATCATTTTCAATTTCTTTCATAGTATCTTTATAGTTTTCAGTGTACAGATCTTTCACTTCTTTGTATTTATTCCTAAGTATTGGTTTTGGTGCTATTACAAAATTTTTTTTGTGGCTATATTTAAGATTTCTGATACCTGATCACATTTGAACTTCTTAAATCATATTTCTGTTGTTTCAAAGGGAGACTTTGTAGTCACAAATTTTCAAGGTATGCTATATACAGTATTTCAATTATGTTAACTAGATAATTTATAAACCAACTTTAAGAATGTGGGAATCCATTTAGTGAAATTCAAGATATGTGAATTTTTCTTGGAGGTTGTTCTTAGATTAACTTCTCTTACTGTTTTTTTTTTTTGCTTTGGTTGCTTATTGGGAGCACTATCAAAAGAATGGAATCAACAGCAAAAAAGTTTTCTTTGCTGGGAGGTTGTTGTAGATTTAAATGTTAAAATATGAAATTTGTACTTATTTCCAATTCATGGCAGTTTTATCTGGACTTTTAAAAACTTTTCTGTTAGAGCCTCCTTTTGCAACTTCCAGAACATCAAAGTCTGTATCGTGATAAAAATCCTTGATTTTGTGTTTCAGAGTACAGGTGAACACACGGTTTTGATGTATACTATATTTGTAAAGGTTTATTTTGAAATAGAATCCACAGTCATAAGGACTACTTACATAAAGTTATTTATGTTTTGAAGCTATTTATGTTATAAAATGAATTTTTTTTTCCTTCCCAGATTTATGCTTTTTGCCTTTTTAGCTAATTAAAATCTAACAGCTCTGTATGTTGAGCACTGTGTTGGCCTCACAGATAGTAGGAGCAAACATTCAGATCACTGGGAGAGTCACTCGCTCATTCAGCATGTTAAATTTCAGTAGTATAAAGTAAACCTTGTATAATAAGTAACTGAAATTTTTTAGTGAATTTTTTTTAAACCATAATTCTCAAGGTACAATTTCAGTGAAAGATGACCACATAAGATTGTGAATATAGAAACAAATGCTGCTTGATTTAAGTGAATGGGAATGGGGAAATTTCTTAATATTTAAAGATTCTTTAACTTCACCATGGGCTAATAATTTATTAAAATAATGTTTCGGAAAAAAATATGAAAATGAAAATATATAAGCAGTTCCCTTACTGTATTTTAGTGTTTTCATTTGTATGTATTTGTAGGTTGAATATGTGTAAGATTTTGCTGTTTATTCATAATTTTATTGTGTGTGTAGACTTTATATCTCTTTGCTTTCTCAATTAACAAAGGTAGGAATTTGTGGAATGATGTTAAAATAAAAATTGAAATGTGGATCATAGAAGTGTAGAACTTGAAATATAGACTGCAGAATAGATTATATAGTCTTAGAAAAAAATAATCAGGGTTTTACTGTTACTTAGTTGGTGCACTTGATTGTAAAATGCTGTCTAGTTTGGCCCTAATTTTATATGGCTTTGTACTTGGAAGCTCTGAACATTAATTGAGGGACCAGAGAGAGAAAATTTTTTGCTAGCTTCCTGAAGAATTTATTAAGAAGATCATTAGTTGTAATCCCTAATGAAAGAGTTTTGTAACATTCTCAGTTATACTCTGGTAAGAAGAAGTATTGCTCGTTTACAAAAACTGCATTCTAGATTGTTAAATTTTAGATAAAGTATTTTTAATTTTTTCCCAATTAAATTTGTTAAACATAGCTGACAGACTTTATTTATTGCTTCTGAAAACTGAATATTCCAGTATTTAGCTGGATCTGGAATTCTGTGTTAATGTTCATTGTTTCTATGGAGATTTTATTCCATTATCCTTTGGCTTCTATTGTTGACTAATATGTAAGTCTAATTTTATTCCATTATGGGTAATTTTTTCTATATTGCTTTTAAGACCTACTTTGTATCTCTTGAGTTATACAGTTTTACTATACATACATTTAGATTTGTTTCTTCTTATTTATTCTGTCTAGATTTTGTTGCCTTTCCGGAATTAGGAGATTCATATCTTTCAACAGTTTTTGAAAATTCTTAGTCATTATCAAATATTACCTTTCTTCGTCCTTTTCTCTCTTTAGTCCCATTTGATTTGTTGATCTTTGTTGACTTATTCTTTCATGTCTAAATAGTTTTTCTTTCATATTTTCCCTAACATATTATTTTGTGTAGCATTGTCAGTTTTTTATTAGCTCTATCTTTCTGACTGATAATTCTTTAACTGTGTATGAATTAGCAGTCCATTTGGTTTTTAATGTCTGTGTGTCTGTGCACATATGTGTGTGGATGCTTACACACAAATGACTGTTTCTTCAATTCTTACCTCTCTGGCCTTTAATATGAGTATTCTTTTTCCATGTGTGTGATTTCATTTATGCTTCTAATAGCTGAAAAAAATGTTTTTTATAGTCTTTCATATTACTCTATTTGGATTTCTTGGTGATATTATCTCTGTATCTTTGATTTTTTTCATTTTTTATTGTAGGCTCACCTTCAGCAGGAGTGTATCTGTAGATACTGTGCTGTACAGTCCTGACTGGATAGAAGGAATTTTTTTCCAGAGGCTTTCATGGCCTTGGAGCCATTTTTGTGTAATATTTTTGGTAGAAAGGGTGGGAGTGTTCTGGACTGGCAGAGACTGTAGATGTAAATTTAAGAATCCATGGTTATAAAATCTTAATGAAAATTTTTTGTCTAGCTGTTGGCTGGTAGGAGAAGCAGGCAAGCTTTCTCTTTTCCTTGTGTCAGTATGGGGATTTCTTTTCCCTTAGTTTATCCTTTGCTGACTTGAACCTTTTAAAAAGAAATTCCGGTTTTATGTACCTGTCTCATTTCCACTTCCCCAACTTGCAGTGTAGTTTTTCCTGTCTTAGTCTTAAATGAGCGTTAATGCTTTCAGTTCCTATTTGATCGTCACTGTTTCCCAGGATTTCCCTTAGTTTCCAGAAAACTCTGTCTATTTTAAAGCAGAACAATTTTTGTTAGGTTTAATTGGAGAGTTTTTGCTCATTGCTGGAAATGGTTTCCTCAAATTAGTTTTGATAAGTCATGATTTAATTTATAATTTAAAAATACAGTAAACTTAATTTAAGTTTAAATTATATCATAAGAGTGTTATGTATGAATGGTGGGAAAATGTAAACATTCAGAAGAATATAAGGTGAAAAGTTACCGTGGAAAGTACCTAAAAGTCACCATAGGGTTCATGGTTTTTGATGTGTTTTTTCA